ACGGTAGGCTGGCTAAGACCCTGGTGGCTAGCCTGCGCGCCAACTATATAATGACATATATATGTCATTATATAGTCTGCGCGCAGCCGCGCAGGATAGTTAGTGACTTACTTCTTCGCTGGTTGTTATACTTTAAAATAATTTTGTATATACCGAGAAATCAATATTCCGAGTATATAAATATATAAACTGGGATGTCACACTGATAGCTTGTTTACATTTCCTGGAGCATCAAATCTTATGTTTTTACCACGGTGGTTTAACCCATTAGCTGGCAATGCGCCCTTCCCTTGTCCAGCGCCAGAAAATTTTACTCGTCAGTGGGCTATAACTGCCAGTAAATGAGTTAACAAACCTATCTGCCAATGCCTCTTGTTAATCCATCAGCACAGTAATGACCCCTACTTTAGTATTTACCCTGTCCAACGCCAGACGATTTTTAATACTCAGTCAGTGGTAGGGTACTGTCAATAAATGGGTTAACAAGGATAACAATAATAAGATGTTTCTGAATGACTCAACACCATGTAGTTTGTCTTTTGCTGTCAAAGGCAGCATTACTGCCCTGTGGGTAACCTAGTCTTTATCATAAATCACAAAAATACAATCAGTGATAGGTTGCTGTGGCCTGTGGTGGCGAACAAACATTTCGTGAAAATATTCAGCCCGGCCCCCTGTTATGTAGCCCACGAGGTGTTTTCGCGAACTTGCGCTTGACTTTTAAGCCCCGTTTACACTACGCTCAATTTTTGGTACGGCACGGATAAAATTGGTACCCGTACCACTTTTTTGTTCTTGGACAACCTATTTAGGTAGTCCAAGAACAAAAAAGTGGTATGGTACCAAAAATTGAACGTAGTGTAAACGGGGCTTAGCTAAATAGGTAGTCCAAGAACCAAAAAAGTGGTACGGCTACCAATTTTATCAGTGCCGTACCAAAAATTGAGCGTAGTGTAAACGGGGCTTAAAATTACTTCTTTTGAATTCTGACAGGACAACAATTATGGGAGGTTTTTCCTCCCAAGTACAAATAATGTTTTCAATTTTTGGATTTGGACTATTCTACAATGAAGTACTCTTGGATAATGTAATCTAAATACATATGAAAACGAAGAAGTGGCATTTATCGGGCAGAGAAGCGGCGAGCCATTAAAATGGCGGCAATTTGACGAAATATCGAAGGACACAATATCGAAGATAAAATACACTGCACTTTTCAAAACTTGATGAATCCTTCTTTGAAATATTCTTCAGACATTTATGATTATGTAAAAGTACAATAACTGGATGATATTTGCGAGACTCGGCGATAAAAAGCAAACAAGACGGCAAAATATGGCTGAAATCGTGTTTTCTTGGGGGGTAAGTGAAATAAAACTATGTATTATATTTAAAGAAAACAATGACAATCCTTATGAAATCAACAATATTTATATTAAAGTACGGCATAGTTTTTTACCCCATGATATTTTTTTTTAGGAAATAAGAATATTTAATTTCTGCCAGGCATATTTATAGTTATTTTATGCATAATTAGCAATTTATCTGGGGTGGTGCATGGTCATTTTCTTGTAAAATATTATACTTAGACAAATGTTTTCTTCCAATGACCACCCCTAAAAGCAACCCTTCTAAACACTATAAGCACTTCAGAAAGACTATCGCTTTTTGTTTTCGGAAGTTAGAGCTATGTCGACACTGCCGTTTCAGGGCGGGGTCATTTTCAGGACTTTCGTCCCGGATTCAGGTTTTGGCACATATGCCATGTTGACCGCCATGGTCATTTTACCCTAAAACAGTTGAGATTACCTGTGCTAAACGCATACAAACTCATATACAGGTCCTAGACTATATTGCATTATAATATATTGCAATATTTAGATTTTAAAACAACTATTAACCTAAAAGTATGTACCCAGGAAATCCCCCCCCCCCAAAAATAGAAACTTGGCCCCACTGGGGGCCATATTTCCTAGGAAATATGCCCCCCCCCTCTTCGGAAATTTGGCCCCCTCGAAAACATAGTTTACTTTATTGCTATAAGCTCGGAAATCGTGAAGCTTCTTCTAAAACCAAGATCCTAAAAGTGTTTGTCAGTATTTATAGTTAGTTTGCATAATTTATTTGTGTCGAAATTCTTCATTGCGGCCAAGAGCTAAAAGTTTGAAGGAAAGTGTAATAATAATAATGTGCTAGTGCAGTCATGCCAGACACATCACACATGGGTATCTGTAAAGGACAACGTTAATGCATAATGGCTTAGCTTTAAGCTGAGGACACGAAACGATTTTTAGAGATAGGAATTTCTAAAGGCCCTGTTACACGGTGCAATTTTTCATGCAACTTGTCTCGCAATGTTTAAAAAAAAATTGATAATGCATTGCAAGAGGTGTTACACGCTGCAATGATTTTCATGCAACTCGCAACGATAGGGGACAGAGGCATGCGAAGAGACTAGGGAGAGGCGCTATTTGGCGCCAAATTTTAATTAAAGTAAAGCGTGTACTGGGGTGAACCAATAGGAACTCTCCAAGCTATAAACATTATGCGAGACAAGTTGCACGAAGCCATGTTACACGCTGCAATGCTAAAAATAATTAGTGCAATCGTTGCCAAAAGTAGAACCGACTGCATGCGCATGCCCGACTTCTACTCTGTGCGATGCTTCATGCAACTTGTCTCGCAACGATTTTGACCATTTCAAGGCATGTTAAACGGTGCAATGACTCGTGCAACTTGTCTCGCAACGCCATTGCAAGTTTACAAGTTATTTAGATCTATAAATTCAGTCACATAGTATACAATTAGTCAGAATAACAACCGCACTTTAGCAAACGATGACATCATGCATTGGCGAATATGTTAATATGCATTATGCACGCGTCTAATAAATAACAGGGAGTAATTAGAATTAGGGTAAAAGTAGACTTTTAAGTGGAAACGTTTGTTCGAAAAACAAAATCAAATGAGTGGTTAATATTTCGTAAAAAAAACTTTTCATATGCATTTTACTTACATATACACAGTATATATAATCGCTCATATGGTTGGGACATTACAGAAGCATTAATTCCGTAAAAACGAAAGTAGACTGCATGCTTTATGGCTCACAAAAACATTTCGTACACACAAAAGCACAAAGGTTTGAATGACCAGCAAAAATCGTATCATCAAGTTTTAAGTATTATAAAGATCGTTTCGTTTCCTTAGCTTAGGGGCCATTCACAAAGGATGTTATTAATTAAAACAAACAACTGTGTTACTGCAACATCGGGATGAACTTATTGTATAGAAAAGGAGTTATACATGCAAAAAGCTTTTATTTGACGCCACTGTTGAATTCATCATTGAAGGAAAGAATTAGATAATATTATGAGGTGTTCTCAGTGCCAATTTCACAATGGGAAGGAGAGTTCAAAACTATAGAGGAAAAAGAAATTTGTTTTTGAATTTTTTTAAATTTCGGACATCCGGATTGCTAAAAACCCCCCTCCCCCCTATGTCCGAGTTTGTCCTGATTTTCCAAACCCCCCTCCCCCCTCGGCTCGGACATCCTTTGTGAATGGCCCCTTAATGATACAGCCATTATTTATTAACGTTGTCTACTTGTCTTCTACAAAGCTGGTCAAAACCAAACGCGAAAAGTAAAAGAAAATGCAAAATTTCCTTCCAAAAATCGCTAAGTACCTTCCAATTGACAGATTTACCTGGTAATTAACATATAAACTGTAGTATTGAAACACATTATATTAATTTATAGCAGACAACTCTGTATTTTGCAGGTTAAAATCAGCTCATCTTCGCCCTGGGGGGACAAAAAGCATAATAATTGGGGGCTACTTGCTGTGGGTGCGAAAAGAGATCATAACTGTTTCTTGCCTCTCTCCCCCCTGGACACACACACACACAAGAAACCGCTAGAGTCTTTCCTGCCCACGCTAAGTAGAGTCTGAGAAATAATACCCTGGGTACGAGGTTTGGTTGTTATTTCAATATAGGGATTCTGGGATCCTGTCCTAGATACATAGTTGCCAACTTTGGGAAAAAAAAACATCCGTGAGATCTCGCTTTGGTGGGGCCACCATGGTTGGCGCCGAGCAGAAAATTTTGAAGATATGGAGTCTCTAGATCGTTGGAAATGGCATTTTCAGAGTCTTCTTTTGCACAAAATTGTATGAAAATTGCCTTATTCTTAGAAATTAAATTATGAGATATTAAAAATATAATTTCCTTCTCATATCCCTCCTTATAACAATATTTCCTCCCAATTTCCTTCCAAATGATATTCCCACAGCACACAATTGTATTAAAAAAATCATTATTTTATCATCTGGCAAAGTATGATCACGAAACTGGGCTACAATATCGCAAATTACGTAAAATAAAAAATGTCGTTAAAAATCCCCGTTGCTATGGTAACAAAGCGATTTTAAAAAGGGCCAATTTGCAGATTATTTGATAATTTTTTGAAAGTTTCTTTGGTAAAACATTTTAATTTTTTGCACACAGTAATCTTATCTATAATTCCTTCAAATGGTAGCATTTAAAAAAAATAGTACGAGAATTTTTGTTTTTAATAATCCTCAAAAAGCCCTGTTTTTGGAATAAAAAAAATTCGGCTCGTACGATTTTCTTAAAACTTGCACATTTTACGCACTTTAAGATTACAGGAAAGTGTGTGAAGTTTTAAAAAATTTACCGAAGGAAACACGAGAAAAATACATTTATTTTTATTTTTGTGACGTCACAAAAATCAGGATTTCAATTTCCTCGCGCGACCAGCCGACAATCCCACGAAGGCCCGCGCGTGCATATCACGACGCAATTAAAAAACCCGCCACACGTGCATCGTCGGCCACGCGTGTTGCGTGTAGCACTACTAATCTCACACGTGGACAAAATTTCCGCGACACAGACCTAAATTAAACTGTAGGGAGCCACCTTAAATGGGTAAATTGTAAATACGAACTTGATTTTCTATTTACATGAAGTACTTCCTAGGAATCCAATATGGCGGACGATAAAGACAGGAACAGTTCAAACGATAAAAGAGAAATTAGTGGATCGTTTATCAGAGGTTTTGCTGCTGGTGTAATTCTATCGCATATCAATAAAAATTTAATCCTAGGACTACTTATTGGAACCTTGGCTGGATGCTATGTGCAACAAAATTACACTGGAATTCCTGATGTTTCTGAGACTGCGACTGAATGGGTGAATACTCTTAAAGAGTCTATAAAGAAGAAGTCAAAATGATTGGGAATATTGTCTACTTGAGTAATGGCAAAAGATTGATGGGTTTCAAAGTTACAAATCAAGGGGTTTTAATGAAAATCAGAAAATGATTGTTGGCATTTCAAAGTACTAGCTATTTATAATACCTACAGGTCACAAAGGGAAACTTCAGTTACATACATACATACGAACAAACATTATTTAAGCATGACAGGCTCATCTGTAAAAGCTGGTTTTATGATGGGCATGGTCAGACAATACATACTGTACATATACATAAACAGATAAACTATATACAGTCATATATATGGGACGTAATAAAAAAATGATAGTAAAAGTGTAAAACTGCTGTTCATTTAACAGCTGACATTTCATATTAGAAAGCTGGGGTGGTTTTGACTAAAAAAAAAGTCAATACTGGTTAAACTGTAAAACTGGTTTTTAATGATTTCAGGGATTTAATAATGCATTCCAGTATTGAATAATGGTCAATGTCTCACCAACGAAATGCAATTTTTAATATAATATTAAGATAATATGAATGGTGATATCACTGATATGAATAGTATCTAGGCGATTTATGTCCTAACAGTTTTGAAAATATAACGTTGCTATAAATTGGTTGTTGAAAAAAGGTTTTAAAATCAAAACCGAGAAAAACTGGAAAACCAGTAAACTGCCCAAGCTTACATATTAATAATATAAAATTGGGGGGGGGGGGGTTGCATTCAGTGAGCTGGTGGGGTATTCGTTATAGGTGTTGTTTACGCATGCCAAGGAGTGTGCGGGATCGAATCTGGCCTGGGTCTGTTTGGCTGATCATAGTCAAGATATGCTCTGGCAACTCACCCAAAGTCTTTTTGTTCTATCTTTTTGTTCATGTTTATCTACAGTAGTGTAGACTCATATTTTGGGGGG